GGATTACAGGCATGCACCACCATGCCCTGCTATTTTTGTATTTTTAGTAGAGACGGGGGTTTCTTCATGTTGGTCAGGCTGGTCTCGAACTCCAGACCTCAGGTGATCAGGCCTCCCGAAGTGCTGAGACTACAAGCGTGAGCCACCACACCCGGCCAGTTTCATCTTTTTAAAGCCTTACAATCATTTGAAGTCCCCATTCATTCATTGGAAACTAGCTAAATTAAACAGTGAAGTCGTTTGTCCTGGAGCTATTAAATATAATAGGCCAGGCACAGTAGCTCACACCTGTAATCCCAGCACTTTGCAAGACTGAGGCAGGTGCGTTGCTTGAGCCCAGAAGCTCGAGACCAGCCTGGGCAACATGGCGAAATCCCATCTACACAAAAATTAGCCAGGGGTACTGGAGTGCACCTGTGGTCCCAGCTACCCAGGAGGCTGAGGTGGGAGAATCACCTGAGTCAGGGAAGTCAAAACTATAGTGAGCCAAGATTGCACGACTGCACTCCAGCCTGGGTGTGGGAGTGAGACCCTGTCTCAAAAAATAAAATGGTAAATATTCCATGCATTTTTGGTCTCTTCTAAAGATTTTTCTCTGTATGATACAATCGCTCTTTTAGAGATGTTCCTCCCCTACATTAATAGAAAATTATGTCCATGTTTGGTGGCTCACGCCTATAATCCTAGCACTTTGGGATGCTGAGGCAGGAGGATTGCTTGAGGCCAGGAGTTCAAGACCGACCTGGGTAACATAGTGAGACCCTGTCTCTAAAAAAATATAAAAAATAGACTCTTAGCACTTTAGGAGGCTGAGTTGGGTGAGACCCTGTCTCTATTAGAAAAAAAAATTATAAAATTTAAAAAATTAGCCCAGCAGTCATGGTGGTATGTGCCTGTAGACCTAGCTACTTAGAATGCTAAGGCAGGAGGATCACTAGAACCCAGGAGTTTGAGGCTGTAATGAGTTATGCTCGTGCTACTGCACTCCAAGCTGGATGACACAGCAAGAGCGTGCCTCATACAAAAAAAAAGAAAAAAAAAAGGAAAAAAAAATCCGTTCTAGATTTTTAAAGTTACGGCTGTAGAGGACCATGACAAAGTTAATCTCTTCTGAATGTGCAGTTATATCTTCTTTCTCAGTACTGATGTTGAGTACTTTTGTTTTCTCATGAGACTGGCCCATGGGGTTATTTCATTGGCCTTTTGAAAGAATTAGTTTTTGGTGTTACCATTTCTACCATTTTTATTTCGTGGTTTTAGCTTTTTTTCCCCACCATCCCTTTTATTTTCTAGTTTAAATATTTTCTATATTTTAGTCATGAAAGTGAGGCAATAGGACAGGATCTGGAGGCAGGGAACCTAAGGCAGATGCACGCTGACGTTCTACAACTAAATCAAAAGGAAAACCCCAACTTTCCACACTTAAATCACAAACGGACCTCAGGGTACTCCCTTTGGAAACCCCCCCACCCCTTTTTCTGTGTGGCAGATGGAAAATTGAAAGTACCTCTGATTGGCTGCTTTCTGCAACCAATCAGACTAATTGTGGGACACTATTTGCATGGGCTGTATACCAAGTGGCCAATAGGAAATCTCTAGAGGGTATTTAAACCCCAGAAAATTCTGTAACCCGGCTCTGTCCCTACCACCGTGTGTACTTTGTTTTTTTTTAAACAGTCTCCCTCTGTTGCCCAGGCTGTAGTGCACTAGCACAATCTCCGCTCATTGCAACCTCTGCCTCCCTGGTTCAAGCGATTCTCCTGCCTCAGCCTCCGGAGTAGCTGGGATTACTGGCCTTCACCACCACATCTAGCTGATTTTTGTATTTTTAGTGGAGATGGGGTTTCACCATGTTGGCCAGGCTGGTCTCGAACTACTGACCTCAAGTGATCCACCAGCCTCGGCCTCCCAAAGTGTTGGGATTACAGGCATTACAGGCATGAGCTACTGCACCTGGCCAGTCAATATCTTTTTCTTTTTCTTTTTTTTTTTTTTTTTTTTTGAGACGGAGTCTCTGTTGCTCAGGCTGGAGTGCAGTGGCCTGATCTTGGCTCACTGCAACCTCTGCCTCCCAGATTCAAGCGATTCTCCTGCCTCAGCCTCCCGAGTAGCTGGGGTTACAGGCGTATGCCACCACGCCTGGCTAATTTTTGTAATTTTTGTAGAGATGGGGTTTCACCATGTCGGTCAGGCTGGTCTCGAACTCCTGACTTCGTGATCCGCTCACTGCGGCCTCACAAAGTGCTGGGATTAAAGGCGTGAGCCACCGCACCTGGCCAGTCAATATCTTTTGAGATTTTTTTTTTTTTTGGTCAGCTTGACTTTTTTTGTTTTTAGAATTTTCAATTCTTGCCTCCTCAGAAGAAAGGATTTGACTGAGGGGCATAAGGCAGGAGATATCCAGGCAAGTTTCAGAGCAGGAGTGAAAGTTTATTAAAAAGCTTTAGAACAGTAACGAAAAAAGGAAAGTAAAGAAAGGAAGGAAAGGTATGTGCTTTCCTTGGTTGAGAAACCAAGTGTGCCTGGTGATTTTTAATGTTACTGAAGATGTGGCATGTTAAAAAGGCATCTTTCTGCTAACACAGTGACTCTCATCTGTAATCCCATGATTGTTTTCGTTTTAAATCTTGGCCAGGCTGGTCTCAAACTCCTGGGCTCGACAGATCCTCTTGCCTCAGCCTCCCAAAGTGCTGGGATCACTGGCCTGAGCCACTGCACCCGGCGGTATAATCCCAGTGTTTTGGGAGGCCAGGATAGGCGGATCAATTGAGGCCAGGAGTTTAAGACCAGCCTGGGCAACAGAGCAAAACACCGTCTCTACGAAAAATAATTAGCCAGGCATGGTGGCCTGTGGCTCAACCTGAGTGAGACAGTGACTCTAAAACAAAACAAAACAAAACAAAACCCTACCACAATCGTATCACACTAAGAAAACTGATAATTTAATATCTAATATGCAGAACACATTCAAATTTCCTCAATTGTTCCAAAAATGTATTAGGGCTTTTTTTTTCTTTCCTTTTCCAATCCAAGATTCAATCATGGTTTGTTTTTCCATATAGAACAACAACCGCCCTGCTTTCTGTGTTTCAGGACATAGACATGAATTGTCTTGTAGAATGTTCCTCATTCTGGATTTCTTGTCTCATGTTTTCAGCAAAGTTCAGGTTACACATGGCAATAAAGGTGATCTGTACAACTCATGCGTTATATTAGGGTCAGACATCAGATTGTTACACCATTTTTTATACCAATTTTGACCATCTGGTTAAGGTGGTAACCATTAGCTGTAACATTCCTATAAAGTGCTGGTCTCTAGTTTTAGCACTCATTAATTATACTTTCCTGACATTTATCTCCCTGGTAATATGGTAGTTTTCTATCATCTCTTCTACCTTTACTATTGACTTTCTAATGGATAGCTCCCTACCCACACCCACCCTCCCCCCGCCTCAGACAGGGTCTCACTCTATCACTCAGGTTGGAGTGCAATGGTGCTATCTTGGCTCACTGCAACCTCAGCCTCCCTGGTTCAAGCGATTTTTCTGTCTCAGCCTCCGGAGTATCTGGGATTACAAGCTTGTGCCCCTGTGCCCGATTAATTTTTGTATTTTTAGTACAGATGGGGTTTCACGATGTTGGCCATGCTGGTCTCAGACTCCTGGCCTCAAGTGATCTGCCTGCCTTGCCTTCCCAAAGTGCTAAGATTATAGGCATGAGCCACCGTGCCAGGCCTTATACCCACCGTTTTTGTTTTACTGTGTTTTTTTTTTTAAATTGCGTTTTATGACCCTTTATGGTGGTGGTTCTCAAAGTGTCCTCATTAATAAGCAACAGCAACTTTACCTGGGAACTTGCTACAAATGCAAATCAGAACCCTAGGGACACCCAGAAATGTGTTTTAACAAAGTCTCCTCCGAATTCTCACGTTGGATAACCACTGCATTATTTTTTTAAAAAAATTTTTGAGACAGTCTTTTTTGCATTTTTAGTAGAGATGGGGTTTCACCATGTTAGCCTGGCTGGTCTCGAACTCCTGACTTAAGGTGATCCACCCGCCTCAGCCCCCAAAGTGCTGGGGTTGCAGGGGTGAGCCACCACGCCCGGCGAATTTAACTTTTATCAGGAGTCGTATTACATTAATAATGGAGAGGAAGAAAACAGCACAGTATGATCAAGATTAACTAGGGAGTAATTAGCTGTAAAAGAACTCTCGACTCTCTTGTTCAAAGAGGTTCAAGCTGCTGTGCTTGTGCGGGAAGGGCTGTGTCCCTTACACGGCCGACTCTAATGAAAAACTACAAATCAGTCATTTCTCCTTCATTTTCTCCATTCCCCCCACTCACTACACAGCTAAGAAAGCTCAATGGTACCCTGCAGACACTCAAAACTTGAGGGCACCCAACTCTCAGTTACGAGTGGTGTCAATCATAATGACAGAATGAAGTATCAGTGCAAGAAATTTAAAGTGTGTGGATGTCTCCAGGCTGGAAGTCTGGGTTCGAAATGTTTGCAATGCCTCGCACTTGTGGCCCGTGGATATCCCTGAACTTCAGAAGCCACTGGTTTCCCCGCCAAACGAAAGGTATGCACCTCATGGGTTCAGGTCAAAAAAGTCTTCTAAGCAACCCTCTAATGTTTATCTTTCACAGCCTGCCGGGCACACCCATCTTCAAAGGCAGCGGACGGAAAAGAAGTGCCAAGATGGGTGGACACACAGCTGTGGCCGCACTCACGTGTCCCAGCACCAAGGCCGAATGACCACTTAGGTCAGGAGATTTTCCCCCCGAGGCTGCTGTTCCCGGGTGGTGTCCCAACGTCTCTAGTGCAGCCCCTAACTCAGCACTCTACACATCTGACGCTTAACGAAAGCTATTCCAACTTTTTACCAGTGGTCTGCAGTTATTTTCACCAGCAGAGCCCGGATGAAAAAGGAGCGAGAAGCAGCCGCGGCAACCGAAAGCCCAGGCGGAAAGGGTGGGGCCCTAGGCGGAAGAGGCGGGGCTCTCGGGCCTTTTCCCGGCGTCAATTTAGTGGCGGGAAAAGCGACGTCTTCTGAACGGCGTTTTCTTGCTGAGTGGTAGCCTTTCCCCTCAACCAGCAATGGAGGAACAACCCCAGATGCAAGCCGCCGACGAGCCCGCGGACTCCGGAGAGGAAGGCGGGGCAGGCGGGCCGCCGCAGGTCGCCGGCGCCCAGGCGGCGCGCAGCGAGGACCGCATGACCCTGCTCCTCAGGTTGTTCCCTTTGGCCGCCTCAGCCCGGGCCAAGTGGGCGTTGTGGCCCGGAACTCCGCCCTTTGCTCAGAAGGGTAGGGTTCGAATTCACGCTCGGTCACGTCATGTCTCCGTGACAGCCTCATTCACTTAAACTCTTGAAGTTCTTTCTTCATCAGCGAAAGGGAGAGAAAAATGACCCCCTGGTAGACAGGTTATAAGGGTTAAATGAGACAGTCTAGGAAAGTGTTGAGCACAGTGCCCCGGGCCCTTGGAAAGTCCTTAGAAGCTGTAATTTCTCCTCCTGTTCCCCTCCCCCGCCCCCGGTTTACAGGCAAGTTGAATACCAGACCTAAATTGAAAGGAAGGTGTCCCTACCTTTTGTTTTAGAACTACGACCCCTTCGTAACCCAGAAGCTTTATATGTTATATATTCTACTAAGCGGATGATGTTTATACTTTTCCACTAAGCGGTTGCTGGGGAAGATTCGATGAGAAGGGACATCCGTCTTCCAAACCAGTGAGCAGGGAGAAGGTCCTGGGCCAAATCTGCCTAACTGCCTATTTTTGTGTGACCACTCAAGCTAAGCATAGTTTTTATGTTTAAGTGGTTGCAGAGAAAAGATCATAAAAATATTTCATAATACATGAACTCTATCAGAAATTAAAATTTCAGTTTCCATAAATAGTTTTATTGGAATACAACTTTCCTGCACAAGGGTGGAATTGAATAGCTAAAACAGAGACCATGTGACTCACAAACCCTAAAAAATTTGCCATCAGGTCCTTTACAGAAAAAAATGTGCGGTCCTCTGTTCTGTATCATAAAGGTAGTTTTAAAAAAATCATTATGGGTCGGGCGCGGTGGCTCACGCCTGTAATCTCAACACTTCGGGAGGCCCAGGCGGATGGATCACCTGAAGTCAGGAGTTCAGACCAGCCTGGCCAACCATGGCCAAATGGTGAAACCCCGTCTCTACTAAAAATACAAAAATTAGCTGGGCGTGGTGGCGCTCACCTGTAATCCTAACTACTTGAGAGACTGAGGCAGGAGAATCACTTGAACCCAGGAGGCAGAGGTTGCATTGAGCGGAGATCGTGCCACTGCACTGCAGCCTGAGTGACAGAGCAAGACTCTGTCTCAGGAAATATAAATAAATAAGAAAATAAAGTCAAAAGTTTCGGAATTATGAAACTGTCATGCAAGTGTGAACTATTTTGTAAATATAATTTGGGAGGCTGAGGTGGGCAGATCACGAGGTAGGGAGTTCGAGACCAGCCTGGCCAATATGGTGAAACCCCGTCTCTACTAAAAATACAACAATTAGCTGGGCGTGGTGGCAGGCTCCTGTAATCCCAGCTACTCAGGAGGCTGAGGCAAGAGAATTGGTTGAACCTGGGAGGCAGAGGTTGCAGTGAGCCGAAGATTGTGCCATTGCACTCCAGCCTGGGCAACAGAGCAAGACTCTTGACTAAAAAAAAAAAATTTTTTTAATTACCTTTTTTTCTTTTTTAAATGTTTTGAATAATGAAAACATACCTATTTCTTTTTTTATTGCTTTTTCCTCCTTACCCTTGCTGTCATCTTAAATTACCATTTACTCATTGTTTTTCTACTTATGTATGATTTTTGGATTTATAGAACAACTGAAAAACTAAGTGAATCCAAGGATTAGTATCTTTGTTATTTTTCTGTATCTCCTGATAACATCTGTATTTGTAAATAATTACAGTGGTTTGGGGTTTAATCAGTTTGGTCTCCTTTGTATTGCATCCTTAGTTCAGTCTGGCCTATTAAAAATAATCTTAAATGCCAATTTTTTAACTTTTCCTTACAGATGCTGTTTTTCCAGTGTATTCTATTTAGTGTCTTCCTCTGAGGCCTTGAAGTTCTTTATACCCATTTTAAATAAAATGGGGCCAAATTAGAAGTTTGTAATTATGAGTTTAATTATTTGTATTTTTTTTTTTTTTTTTTTTTTTTTTTTGAGACGGAGTCTCGCTCTGTCGCCCAGGCTGGAGTGCAGTGGCGCGATCTCCACTCACTGCAAGCTCCGCCTCCCGGGTTCACGCCATTCTCCTGCCTCAGCCTCCCGAGTAGCTGGGACTACAGGCACCCACAACCGCGCCCGGCTAATTTTTTGTATTTTTAGTAGAGACGGGGTTTCACCGTGGTCTCGATCTCCTGACCTTGTGATCCGCCCGCCTCGGCCTCCCAAAGTGCTGGGATTACAGGCGTGAGCCACCGCGCCCGGCCTTGTATTTATTTTGTGATATCAGCTTCCGAAAAAGAATGAGTTGGTTTGTCATATGGTAATGAGTAAAACCTTAATAAATATGTGACTTTATATTCTCTTTATCTGTTTTCAGGCTGAGAGCACAGACAAAACAACAGCTCTTAGAATATAAATCAATGATTGATGCAAGTAAGTATTTTCATTTTCAAATTAGGGTTTTGTTGTTTGTTTGTTTTTTTGAGACAGGATCTTGCTGTCACCCAGGCTGGAATGCAGTGGCGCAGTCTCCGGTTTACTGCAGCCTCAGCCTCCTGGGCTCCAGCAGTCCTCCCACCTCAGCCTCCCAAGTAACTGGAACCACAGGCACATGCTACCGCGCCTGACTAATTTTCTGTATTTTTTTGTAGAAACAGGGTTTTGCCACCACACCTGGCCTCAAATAAGATTTTGTGAATTTGATGATTAACAGTTCTCGAGGAAAAATAAAATTAACTTTACCAAAAATTGTTTATATATGTTCTAGTGTAGCAAAACTGGTAAACATGCAAGATATTTATGAAGTATGGTAAGTATGGTGAAGGAAACAAAGGCATGATAAGAGGGAGGGGCTTCTTTTCATAGAGATGGCTTCTCTAAGAAGATAATTTTAGAGCTCAGATCCAAATGAGAAGAGTTTACATTCCAATAGTCTTTTTGTTCTCTGTATAGCTAGTACCATTTTTAAGGGATTATGACATCCAAAACCTAGATTTAGTTAACATTGTAGAATTTCTGTACCTAGGAGAAGACAGATGTAAGGCAGGTCACAGGAAGTTTAGTTGTAGCCTTTGAAAGAAGATGTTTATCTAAAATTGACTGTCTGCTCTTTTAGAGGCCAAGACAGGAAGATCACTTGAAGCTAAGAGTTTGAAATTGGCCTGGGCAACAAAGTGAGACTTCGTCCCTACAAAAATGAAAAAACTTAATCGGATATGGTGATACATACCTGTAGTCCCAGCTGGGACTCACTGGGCTCAAGTGATTGAATCATTGTACTGTACTTCACTCCACTGGGCAATAGAGTGAGACTGTCAAGCAATCAATAGAGAAATAAGTATTGATTCTTTTACTGTTTAAAAAATATATATATGGCCAGGCATGGTAGCTCACGCCTGTAATCCCAACACTTTGGGAGGCCGAGGCAGGTGGATCAGCTGAGGTCAGGAGTTCAAGATCAGCCTCACTAACATGGAGAAACCCCATCTCTACTAAAGATACAAAATTAGCCGGGTGTGGTGGTGCATGCCTATAATCCCAGCTACTTGGGAGACTGAGGCAGGAGAATCGCTTGAACCCGGGAGGCGGAGGTTGCAGCGACCCGAGATTGCGCCACTGCACTCTGGCCTGGGCAACAAGAGCAAAACTCTGTCTCAAAAAATATATATATATATATATACACATATATATATATATAACTGAGACTACTGGTTAAAGGATTGTTTTTTACAATAAAGGGATCTATTTTAAGGGTACAATTTGATGAGTTTTGACAAATTTCTAAATCTGTATAATCACTACCACAATCAAGATACAGAACATTTTCGGCTGAGCGTGGTGGATCAATCTGTAATCCCAGCACTTTGAGGGTCCAAGACGAGATGATTGCTTGAGCCCAGGACAACCAGCCTGGGAAACATAGTGAGACCCCATCTCTAAAAAATCAAATTGGCCAGATGTGGTACCATGTGCCTGTAGTCCCACCCAGCTGGGGTAGGAGGATTGCTTGAGCCTGGAATATCAAGGCTGCAGTGAGCCAAGATCACACCACTGCACTCCAGCCTCAGTAACAGAAGGAGACCCTGTCTCCCCAAAAAAAAGAAAAAAACAGAACATTTTCTTTTTTTTGGATAGAGTCTTGGAGTGCAGTGGCGAGATCTCGGCTTACTGCAACCTCCGCCTCCCGGGTTCACCGCCTCAGCCTGTCAAGTAGCTGGGATTACAGGCGCCTGCCACCATGGCCAGCTAATTTTTGTATTTTTAGTAGAGACAGGGTTTCACCACCTTGGCCAGACAGATCTTGAACTCCTGATCTCGTGATTCACCCACCTCAGCCTCCCAAAGTGTTGGGATTACAGGCGTGAGCCACTGTGCCTGGCCAGAACATTTTCATACCAAAATAATCCCATGTGCCGCTTCACAGTCAGTCCCCACCTTTTCCTCCAGCAACCACCAATTTGATTTTTGTTACTGTGGAATTGTCTTCTAGAGTGTGTTGTCCGATGGGGTAACCACTAGCCACAAGTGACCTTTTTTTTTTTTTTTTTTTTTTTTTTGAGATGGAGTCTTGCTCTTGTCCCCCATGCTGGAGTGCAATGACTCGATCTTGGCTCTGTGCAACCTCCGCCTCCTGGGTTCAAGGGATTCTCTTGCTTCAGCCGCCCGGGTAGCTGGGAAAACAGGCACCTGCCACCACGCCTGGCTAATTTTTTGTATTTTTAGTAGAGAGGGGGTTTCACCATGGTGGCCAGGCTGGTCTCTTAACTCCTGACCTCAGGTGATCCACCTGCCTCGGCCTCCCAAAGTACTGGGATCACAGGCATGAGCCACCACTGCTGGCCACACATGTGGCTTTTTAAAGCTAATTAAAATGAAATAAAATTTAAAATTAAGTGTATATCAAATGCTTAGTTGCCACATGTGACCAGTGGCTACCCTATGGGGTAGCATAGATATGAAACATTTCCATCATCATAGTGAGATGATCTTGCTCAGCGACCCAGGCTGGAGTGTAGCTAGTAAGATTTTGGCTCACTGCAACCCCTACCTCGTGGGCTCAATCGATCCTCCCACCTCAGCCTCCCGAGTAGCTGGGACTACAGGCATGCACTATCGTGCCTGGCTAATTATCAGTAGAGACAGAGTTTCGCTATGTCTCCCAGGCTGGTCTCAAACTCCTGGACACAAGCAATGTGGTTAGTCATCATTGAGATGGGCCGTAAATGTAAAATACAGACAGAATAATGTGAAATATGTCATTAGTAATGTTAAACTGACTGCACATTGAAATAATATTTTTTATCTATTGGGTTAAATAAGTATATTAAAATTAAATTTCACTGTTTCTTTTCTGTAATGTGGAAATGACATTTTAAATGATGTATTTTGCCCTTGTGGCTTATATTATATTTCTTTTGGACAGCACCTTTCTAAAATGTTAGTAACTTCAAAAAATTGTTTATTTGCAGATGAAGAAAAAACTCCGGAACAAATTATGCAAGAAAAGCAAATCGAAGCGTATGTTATATTTAAAAAATTTTGTTTATGGTCTTTACTAAGATTTAATCATATTTTCTATTATTTTGTTGTTAGAGATGGAGTCTCACTATCACGCGGGCTGGAGTATGGTGATGTGATCATAGTTCACTGAAGCCGCGACCTCCTGGGTTCAAGGGATCCACTGGCCTCACCCTCCTGAGTAGCTGGAACTATAGGCTCATTGTACCTAACCTGACTTTTTAAAAAATATTTTGGGGCCGGGCACGGTGACTCATGCCTGTAATCCCAGCGCTTTGGGAGGCCTAGGTGGGTGGATCACCTGAGGTCAGGAGTTCAAGACCAGCCTGACCAACATGGAGAAACCCCGTCTCTACTAGAAATACAAAATTAACTGGGTGTGGTGGCGCATGCCTGTAATCCCAGCTACTCGGGAGGCTGAGGCAGGAGAATTGCTTGAATCCAGGAGGCAGAGTTTGCGGTGAGCCGAGATCACACCATTGCACTCCAGCCTGGGCAACAAGAGCGAAACTCCACCTCAAAAAAAAAATTTTTTGTAGAGATGGGGCCTCACTTTGTTGCCCAGGCTGTTCTCAAATTCCTGGCCTCAAGTAATCCTCCACCTTGGCCTCCCAGAGTTCTGGGATTGTAGGCAAGAGCCACTGAGCCTGGTCATAATCTCATTTTCTATGCTATAACATTGTTTTTCTTTTTCCTTTCCTTTATTTTTCCAGATAATTTGTGATGCATATATTGGGAAGTTGTTAATTTGGGATGGAGATTTATATGTACACAAGTGATCACGTTATAACTTTCTGGCCTCCCTTTTTATAAGATACTGAGTGAAGTAGCTCAGGGGCATTAGTTTGCTAAATGTGTAAATACACATTGGTATATTGAGCCTGTAGAACACTTTTATTTAGATAGAGGTGTTTTACTTTTTTAAGGGCTTACTTCATACATTTATTTCAATAATGTCTTTTTCTGATATTGCTGATATTCTTTTGCTCATGTTTCTTTCATAGTAAAATTGAAGACCTGGAAAATGAAATTGAAGAGGTGAAAATTTCTTTTGAGATAAAAAAGCTTGCATTAGACAGGTAATTGTTACATTTTAAATATAAGGATTGTGAACTGAATGCAAAATGGGTATGAGGGCAAAGTGGAGGGAATCTTTTAACTGGGCTGGATGAATTAGTGAAGCACAGTGATGATTAGATAATGGTCACACGAAAATTTTATTATTATTACTGTTTTTTAATTTGACAAGGTTTCACTCTTGCCCATGCTGGAGTACAGCAACATGATCACTGCTCACTGTAGCCTTAACCTCCCAGGCTCAAGTAGTCCTCCTGCCTCAGCCTCTGGAGCAGCTGGGACTACAGGCATGCACAACCACGCTTGGCTAATTTTTAAAATTTTTTATCGAGAGGGGGTCTCACTGTGCCCAGGCTGGTCTTGAACTCCTAGGCTCAAGCAATCTTCTCGCCTCAGCCTTCCCAAAATGCTGGGATTACACAAACCCAGCCTGGTCACACAAATTTTGAGCCCTGGGAGAAAATTTGCATTACAGATGCTTCTCAATTTGCAATGGGATTAGGTCCTGATAAACCCATTGTAAATTGAAAATATGGTAAGTGAAAAATGGCATTTAATACACCTAACATGCCTGGGTGCAGTGGCACACGCCTGTAATCCCAGCACTTTGGGAGGCCAAGGCGTGTGGATCACCTGAGGTCAGGAGTTCAAGACCAGCCTGGCCAACATGGCAAAACCCTGTCTCTACTAAAAATACAAAAATTAGCCGGGTGTGGTGGCGTATAGCCTATAATCCCAGCTGCTAGGGAGGCTGAGGCAGGAGAATCACTTAAACCTGGGAGGCAGAGATTGCAGTGAGCCGAGATCACGCCACTATATACTCCATCCTGGGCGACAGAGCAAGACTGCCTCTCAAAAAAAAAAATGTTTTAAAGTTTATAGTCGTATATGGTTTTGTATTCCCTAAGTCCTTTATTTCAGGCCCATCCTGATCTTTTTAGTGGCTTAATCCTTCCACTGGAAGTAGATGGTTCAGAGAACTCATTCAGCTCAGGCCAGGTTTCAGATTTACCTGGCCCCTCATTCTGGCAGTGTATACCCACATGCAACAGCCCTATCCATCTTGGTGTTATTTCATATTTCTATGTTTTATTTCTCAAAGTATTTCTCATGTAAAAATATTTTAAAACCTACTTCTGTTTTATGTATATTTGAAGGGAAATAATCTTTGTCATGTTTGGAATTTTTTTAATGTAACAAATGTTATCCATGTTTTATAATGCAAGCTTTTTCCCTCTCATAGGATGAGACTTTCAGCTGCACTTAAAAAAAACCTGGAGAAAATTAGCACCCAGTCTAGGTATGATTTTCTTTTTCTCTGGATTCAGTAAGGATGGGATTTGCATAGTGACTTTAGTTTTGTGAATTTTAAAAAATTATTACTGCGAACTACCTTTATCTGGGGAATAAGGAAAGTGATGAAATTTTTGTAGGCCCTCCCCAAAATTACAGCAACTTCTATAGTTCTTTTTTTTTTTTTTTTTTTGAGACGGAGTCTCGCTCTGTCACCCAGTCACCCAGGCTGGAGTGCAGTGGCCAGATCTCAGCTCACTGCAAGCTCCGCCTCCCGGGTTCCCGCCATTCTCCTGCCTCAGCCTCCCAAGTAGCTGGGACCACAGGCGCCGCCACCTCGCCCGGCTAATTTTTTGTGTTTTTAGTAGAGACGGGGTTTCGCCGTGTTAGCCAGGATGGTCTCAATCTCCTGACCTAGTGATCCGCCCGTCTCGGCCTCCCAAAGTGCTGGGATTACAGGCTTGAGCCACCGCGCCCGGCCAACTTCTATAGTTCTAATGATATTTTGTTCTATATGGATCGTAACTGTAAGAAGCAGAAGAGTTTATCCAGAAGATTGGAAAAATTTAAGGGAAAGCTTTAAAAGTTCATTTTTTTTCCAGTATTTACTATAAATTAGGAACAGGGCTATCTCATTTAATCCATTCAAAACCCAATGAGATAGGAAATGTACTCCTCATTTTTTATTGGTAGAAATGAGCGTGTTCGGATCAAACAATTTCCCAAGGGATGTAATGTAAAGACTAGCAGGTCAGGTCTTCTGTATCCTGATATCTGGCCTCAGAGGTCTTTTCTCCCAAAGCTCTTATGATAAAATTGCCCCTTCTTCCCTTGAGCACCAGAAAAATTCCAAGATGGGTTTAAGCACTTTTTTTTTTTTTGGAGATGGAGTCTTGCTCTGTCACTCAGGCTGGAGTGCAGTTCACTCCAACCTCCACCTCTCGGGTTCAAGCGATTCTCATGCCTCAGCCTCCTAAATAGCTGGGATTACAGGTACCTGCCACAACACCTGGGTAATTTTTGTATTTTTCGTAGAGACGGGGTTTTACTATGTTGGCCAGGCTGGTCTGGATCTAGGCACTTTTATCTTGAGTATCTTAGCCCACACTGATACACGTTTTCCCCATATTCCAGCTAAATCCAGGATTACATAAATCCAAAAATCTGAATTTGAACACTCATAACTTTTTCTCTCCCATAAAAGGAGAGTTTAGCCTGGGTACAGAGGCTTATGCCTATAATCCCAACACTTTGGGAGCCTGAGGCAGGAGTATAGATTGAGCCCAGGCATTTGAGATCAGCCTGGGCAACATAGGGAGGCCTCAGCTCAACAAAAAATTTTTAAAAATTAGCCAGGCGTGGTGGAGCCACCAGTAGTCCTAGCTACTCCAGAGGCTGAGGGGAGAGGATCAGCCTCCTGCCTTGATTCTAGGAGGTCATCGGGCTGCAGTAAGCTGTGATCTTGCCACAGCACCTTAGCCTGGGCAATAGTGAGACCCCATCTCAGGACAAAAAAAAAAAAAAAAAAAAGAACATTATTGAGTTTAAGGCGTGGGGTGCAGGACATCAGGACAGATTCATCATATTGTTACTGAAATGTCAGGGATTCAGTCTAGGTTCTGTTGCTTGCTGCACAGAAATGTAATCACTGACATGAGTATTGTCAGGAAGAAGGCTTTGATTACTATAGCCAAGGAGAGGGGAGATCAGTCTGATCTCCTAGATGGACTAAAATTAAATCCATCTAGGGTGTTTTGTTTTGTCTTGTCTTGTTGAGACAGGGCCTCACTCTGTTGCTCAGGCTGGAGTGCAGTGGCGTGATCCTGGCTCACTGCAGCTTCGACCTGCCAGGTTGAAGCAGTCCACTTCAGCCTCCCAAGTAGGTGGGACTACAGGCGCATGCCACTGTGCCTGGCTAATTTTTGTATTTTTTGTAGAGATGGAGTTTTGCCTTGTTGCCCAGGCTGGTCGCGAACTCCTGAGCTCAAAGTGATCCACCTGCATTGGCCTTCCAGAGTGCTGAGATTACAGGCATGAACCACCATGCTCTGCCAAATTAAGGGTTTTTATAGCAGGGAAGATGTGTAACCATGTATGGGAAAACAGGAATTAGGGAGGGGTAAGGAAGAGGAGTTAGTCAATAGGAAGCAGGTAGTTGGTTAGGCGGTCCTGATGGGTGAGGGGTCTGATTCTTATTGTCCAGAGGGTGTGATCTTGTAAGTTTCAGTTCTTTGATACTATCTGGGAGGCCTGATGGTTGGTTTCCTGAGAAAGGAACTCAGATAAGACAATTGTAACTTTCTCAAGTTTTAATACGGGGAGGGTCAGTTTCTCTTTATTCAAAAGAAATCATAAACATCAGTTCTGTGGGACAATTGGGCCAGTTTCACTGTTGACACCAAAAAACAACAGAAGGGTCAGACCTGGCACGGTGGCTCACGCCTATAATCCCAGCACTTTGGGAGGCTGAGGCAGGCGGATCTTCTGAGGTCAGAAGTTCGAGACCAGCCTGGCCAACATGGTAAAACCCCATCTCTACTAAAAATGCAAAAAGTAGCCGGGCGTGGTGGCAAGCGCCTGTAATCCCAGCTACCTGGGAGGCTAAGGCAGGAAAATCGCTTGAACCCAGGAGGCAGAGGTTGCAGTGAGCTGAGAGTGCACCACTGCACTCCTGCCTAGGCAACAGAGTGAGACTCTGTCTCAAAAATAAATAAATAAATAAATAAACCCAGAAAGGTCAAATAGGCTAAGGCAGTGTTTTGTTAGCACATTTTAAAGTTTACAACTGTTAAGAAAAAAAATTAATTGGGATACAACTAGAATGCCATTAGGCTGAACCATCTTTAGCCTTAAGCTCCAGCACCTTGGGGTTCCTATGTAAGCCTGTTGTTAACAGTAAAATGGAGCTTAAGCTTACCCAATGAGAAACTGCCAACTAACCTCCACCTAGAGATGTTCCACTTTAACCAACCAATTATATTTTCTGTCTTTCTTCTATGAACACCTTATAAAAGCTTCCTCACTCAACTCCCACAGTAGAGCACTAAACAGCTTACAATCCTGTGCTGCCAGATGCATGAATTGTCTGGTAAAATAAAGTTGTTACATTTTAATATGCCTAAATTTATCTTTTAAGACAACCAAATATAGCTGTAAATAGTAAAAAAAAAAATGAGTTCAGCTCTCCCAGGTTTGTGCAGATTCCCCCTTTTGGCCTTCTTAGTTAGTTGCTTCTACAGTGTTTTTCACACCTGGCTGATTATCAGAATAATGTCTATTATAATGATCACATTATTGGTCCTATCCCAAACTTTCTGAATCAGCATATCTTTTTTTTTTTTTTTTTTTTTAGACAGAATCTTGCTCTGTCATCCAGGCTGGAGTGCAGTGGCATGATCTTGACTTACTGCAACCTCTGCCTCCCGGGTTCAAGCGATTCTCCTACCTCGGTCTCCTGAGTAGATGGGATTACAGGCACACACCATCACACCTGGCTAATTTTTGTATTTTTAGTAGAGATGGGATTTTGCCATGTTGGCCAGGCTAATCTCAAACTCCTGACTTCAAGGGATCCACTGTACCTGGCTTTTTTTTTTTTTTTTTAAATAGAGATGTAGTCTTGCTATATTGCCCAGGTCTCAAACTCCTGAACTCAAGCAATCCTCCTGCCTCAGCCTCCCAACATGCCAGGATTACAGGTATGAGCCATAGAACCGGGCCTTGAATCAGCATATCTGAAGTTTGGGGACTAGGAATCCTCACTTAACAAGACTCCCATGTGACTGTGGCACTCTGAAGTATGAGAGCCACTGCTTTGCCCAGTCTTATTCCACACCCTTTTACTCCCACCATACCAAACTACTTGATCTAGGTAATTACTTTATGTCCTTATTCCACTTTGTGCATAACTTTGGTTCATGTTTGTTACTGCACTACAGTATGATTGTGGTTTTATTTTTCTCCTCCACTAGATTCTTTCCTCTTTGAAAACAGATACTGTGTTTTATTTTATTTTACATTCCTGGCACCTGGCATAGTTCTTGAAAGCATGTAGTTAAGTACTCAAAAATATTTGTCGAAGTAGAGGTAAAAAGCAGTTTATTCCTTGAAACTATTCTACATGCTGCAATAATGGTGGATACATGTAATTATACATATGTCAAAACCCAGAGAATGGGCGGGACCTCAGTAGCTTATGTCTATAATCCTACCACTTTGGGAGGCTGAAGAGGGAGGATTGCTTCAACCCTGGAGTTCCAGACCAGTCTGGGCAATATAGGGAGACCTCGTGTCTACAAAAAATTTAAAAATTAGTGGGACATGGTAGTGTATGCCTATAATCCCAGCTGCTTCAGAGGCTGAGGCAGGATGATCGCTTAAGCCCAGGAGGTTGAGGTTGTGATTGTGCCACTGCACTCCAGCCTGGGTGGCAGAGCAAGACCCTGTAACAAGAACAAACCCATAGAATATACACAAGCAAGAGTGCACCTTGATGTAAAATCCGGACTTTGGGTAACAATGATGTGTCGATATAGGTTTGTTGATTGTAACAAATGTGCCACTTTGGTAGGGGATGTTGATAATGGGAGAGGCTGTGCATGTGTTGGGGGCAGGGTGTATATGAGAAATCTCTGTACCTTCCACTCAGTTTTGCTGTGAAACTAAAATTACTCTAAAAAATAAATTCAAAACAAAAACTAAAATTGCTCTAAAAAATAAATTCAAAGCAAAAACAGCTTGTTAGGAAGTTATCAGGGTGTTTCCTCTCTAAATATGAAATTTTTAGAAATGTTCCCACATTTTTAAATTTGGTATTCTTCAATATCTGTGACCAAACATTTTTCTCGGGAAATGCATCTCTAGTTTCAACAGAAATTTGGATTACATCACACTTTTCCAGATTTATTTTGTTAAACTGACTTTTTATCCAAGTGTATGGTAGATTTAATTAAAGTAAGTTTTCACTCATTGATTCCTTCATTAATGACAGGTATTTTTAATTAAGTTACAAATAACCTTAATAAATCATCTTTTTGTTTCCTTTTCAGTGTGCTCATGGATAACATGAAACACCTATTAGAGCTAAATAAATTAATAATGAAATCACAGCAGGTAAACTTACACATTAGGCTGATTATGCATTCTCATGATTTTACTTTCAACTTCTTGCTGGTAACTGTAATGTATATGATTAAATAGGATTGTCCAAAGGGAATGCTATGATTGGAATTCGCTGTTCTTAAGCTCTGTCTTTTTTTCAAAATTCTATTATTTCTGACTAATGTTGAACATTATCTACTTAAAAGTTAATTTACTGTCTTTTGTTGTGTGGAAATAGAGGAACTGAAAACTGGAACTTTAGATAACTAAGGCTAGTAGATAAAACTCAGTGATTTAAGTATTACAAGTTTGTCCTTACCTACAGTAATGTGCTTTAACTTTTTTATTTTTAATAACAGGAATCTTGGGATTTAGAGGAAAAACTGCTTGATATTAGAAAGAAGAGATTGCGTATGTAAAACACTTTTTTTGGCAGAACACATTTTTCTTACTTTATAGATTGATAAGGCCAGATCTCTTAGCCACCGAGAAATTTCCTAATTTCTGACTTTCAAAATTTCTTTAAATTTTTGACATGGCAGCTTAAAAAGTGATATAAAGTACATTTTGTTCTATTTATTCTCATTGTTTTAGAACTTTATTTTCGTTTGTGGTTGGTTTTTTTTGAGACAGAGTCTTGCTCTATCACCCAGGTGGAGTGCAGTGAACTATCTTGGCTCACTGTAACCTCCGCCTCCCGAATTCAAGTGATTCCCCTGCCTCAGCCTCCTGAGTAGCTGGGACTACAGGCACCCACCACCACGCCCAGCTAATTTTTGCTTTTTTTATTTTTTTTTGAGACGGAGTCTCGCTCTGTCACCCAGGCTGGAGTGCAGTGGCACGATCTTGGCTCACTGCAAGCTCCGCTTCCCAGGTTTACACCATTCTCCTGCCTCAGCCTCCCGAGTAGCTGGGACTACAAGCGCCCGCCACCTCGCCCGGCTAGTTTTTTGTATTTTTTTAGTAGAGATGGGGTTTCACCGTGTTAGCCAGGATGGTCTCGATCTCCTGACCTCATGATCCGCCCGTCTCGGCCTCCCAAAGTGCTGGGATTATAGGCTTGAGCCACCGCGCCAGGCCCTTTTTTTTTTTTTAATTCTTTAATATGGTATTTTTTTTTGGAGAAAGAATCTCACTCTGTCACCCATGCTGGAATGCAGTGGTATAATCTTGGCTCACTGTATCCTCTGCCTTCTGGGTTCAAGTGATTCTTGTGCCTCAGCCTCCAGAGTAACTGAGATTACAGGTGTATCCCACCACACCTGGCTAGTTTTTGTGTTTTTTTAGTAGAGATGGGATTTCACCATGTTGACCAGGCTGGTCTTGAACTCCCAACGTCAGATGATCCGCCTGCGTCGGCCTCTCAAAGTGCTGGTTACAGGCGTGAGCCACTGCACCTGGTCAAATTTTTGTATTTTGAGTAGCGACAGGGTTTCACCATGTTGGTCAGGCTGGTCTTGAACTCCTGATCTCAAGTGATCCACCTGCCTCGGCCTCCCAAAGTGCTGGGATTACAGGCACCTACCACCACTCCCAGCTGATTTTGTCTTTTTAGTAGAGATGGGGCTTCTCCATGTTGGTCAGGCTGGTCTTGAACTCCCTACCTCAGGTGATCCACCCACCTCAGCTTCCCAAAGTGCTGAGATTACAGGCATGAGCGCTGCGCCTAGCTGGTGTTTTTTTTTTTTTTTTTTTTTTTTTTAAGATGCAGTTTCGCTCTTGTCACCCAGGCTGGAGTGCAATGGTGCGATCTCGGCTCACTGCAATCCCCGCCTCCCGGGTTCAAGCAGTTCTTCTGCCTCAGCCTCCCGAGTAGCCAGGATTACAGGCACCTGCCACCATGCCCTGCTAATTTATATTTTTAGTAGAGATGGGTTTCACCATGTTGGCCAGATTGGTCTCCAACTCTTGACCTCAGGTGATCCACCCTCTTCAGCCTCCCACAGTGCTGATTACAGGTGTGAGTCACTGCACCCTGCTCAGATTTGTCATTTGTAAACATTATATAGATTTGCCTGTTAGCAAATAATCTCAGGGTCAGTAGTAGTATTGGTCATCTTGTTTATTCCCCCCACGTTTTTTTAAGTAGAATCAGGGTCTTGCTATGTTGCCCAGGGTGGTCTCGAACTTATAGCGATTCTCCTGCCTCTGCCTTCCAAAGTGTTGGGATTATAAGAATGAGCCACCCATGCTCAGGCTATACCCTTTTGATGATTCATTTTTTCCACTGTATTCCAACCTCATTTAATACATTAATGTTGAAGAACAGGCCCCTGAAATACATCCATTTATATTTCCAAGTAGTTTAATTCTTAGACTATTTCCAGTAATACAAAAAATGGTTGATGATGTTTATCCCTGGAGAGGGGAATCTTACTTTATTTTTCCTGAGACAGAGTTTCACTCTTGTTGCCCAGGCTAGAGTGCAGTGGTGCAATCTCGGCTTACTACAACCTCTGCCTCTGGGTTCAAGTGATTCTCCTGCCTCAGCTTCCTGAGTAGCTGGGATTATAGGCACGTGCCACCATGCCCAGCTAATTTTTGTATTTATCGTGGAGATGGGGTTTCGTCACGTTGGCTGGGCTGGTCTCAAAACTCCTGACCTCAGGTGATCCACCCACCTCAGCCTCCCAAAGTGCTGGGATTACAGGCGTGAGCCCTGCCAAGGAAGCTTACTTTTCATTTAAAATTAATCTTTTGGCCGGGCGCGGTGGCTCAAGCCTGTAATCCCAGCACTTTGGGAGGCCGAGACGGGCGGATCACGAGCTCAGGAGATCGAGACCATCCTGGCTAACATGGTGAAACCCTGTCTCCACTAAAAAATACAAAAAACTAACCGGGCGAGGTGGCGGGCACCTGTAATCCCAGCTACTCGGGAGGCTGAGGCAGGAGAATGGCGTGAACCTGGGAGGCGGGAGCTTGCAGTGAGCTGAGATCCGGCCACTGCACTCCAGCCTGGGCGACAGAGCGAGACTCCGTCTCAAAAAAAAAAAAAAAAAAAGGCCGGGCGCGGTGGCTCAAGCCTGTAATCCTAGCACTTTGGGAGGCCGAGACGGGCGGATCACGAGGTCAGGAGATAGAGACCATCCTGGCTAACACGGTGAAACCTCGTCTCTATTAAGAAATACAAAAAACTAGCCGGGCGAGGTGGCGGGCGCCTGTAGTCCCAGCTACTCGGGAGGCTGAGGCAGGAGAATGGCGTGAACCTGGGAGGCGGAGCTTGCAGTGAGCTGAGATCCGGCCACTGCACTCCAGCCTGGGTGACAGAACGAGACTCCGTCTCAAAAAAAAAAAAAAAAATTAATCTTATTTTGTTGGGCATGGTGGCTCATGCCTATAATCTCAGCACTTTGGGAGGCTGAGGTGGGTGGATCACTTGAGATCAGGAGTTGGAGACCAGCCCAGCCAACGTGGCAAAACCCCCATCTATACTAAAAACACAAACATTAGCCAGGTGTGGTGGCGGGTGCCTGTAATCCCAGCTATTCAGGACACTAAGGCAGGAGAATCACTTGAACTCCTGGGAGGCGGAGCCTGCAGTGAGCCGAGATCGCACCACTGCACTCCAGCCTAGGTGACAGAGTAAGACTTCATCTCAAAAATAATAATAATAATAAAATAAATGTTTATATGTTTCATTTTTGAAGGAATTAAAGAAGGAAAAGATATATATATATTTCCTACCTGTTTTGGCAACCCAAAATAAGCCCTTGATACATGATACCACTTGAAATATCTGTAGACAGCTGTTATTGTCATACAGAAATACCTGGAACATTTCACTAAGGGCATTGCTAAGTACAAAATTAAAATATTGTTATTTTGCACCAGGGAAGTCATTTTCAGATCATAATAAAATTGCAACCTAAAATGCTGCTCATTAAAATTTTTCTCTTGACTAAAATAACCAAGAAGTGATCTGCTTCATAATTTTTCAAGATCCTACTTTGTAGAGGTATTATATATGGTATATTATTTTATTTTTAACCTAACAGAATTAAAACAAGCTTCAGAAAGTAAGCTTTTAGAAATACAGACTGAAAAGAACAAACAGAAGATTGATTTGGACAGTATGGAAAACTCAGACAGGATAAAGATCATACGACAAAACCTACAGATGGAGATAAAAATTACTACCATTATTCAACATGTGTTCCAGGTAACATTTATATAAACTAGCAAGAAAAGTAAAGTACTTTTTTTGTTTTTTGAGATGGAGTTTCACTCTTGTTGCCCAAGGTGGAGTGAAATGACTCAATCTCAGCTCACTGCAACCTGTGCCTCCTGGTTCAAGCAATTCTCTTGTCTCAGCCTCCTGAGTAGCTGGGATTATAGGTGCCCACCACCACACCCGGCTAATTTTTTAATTTTTAGTAGAGACGGGTTTTCACTATGTTGGCTAGGCTGGTCTCAAACCCCTCACCTTTAGGTGATCCATCTACTTTAGCCTCCCAAATTGCTGGGATTACAGGCATGAGCCACTGCACCTGGCCAACTATTTGATGATGCTATTATACAGTATTGACTTAACTTTCAGCTAGTTTTTGATCTTGATGAAATAATTCAATGTTTAATATTGGTCTGTTTGTATATATTTGGAATGTGTGTATACCTAATGCTTAAGGTCTTGATTTTCCTTTTTTCTTTTTTCAGACGGAGTCTCACTCTGTAGCCCAGGCTGGAGTGCAGTGGCGTGATCTCGGCCCACTGCAACCTCCTCCTGGGTTCAAGCGATTCTCCTGCCTCAGCCTCCTGAGTAGCTGGGATTATAGGCATCTGCCACCACACCTGGCTAATTTTTATATTTTTGGTAGAGATAGGGTTTTGCCATGTTGACCAGGCTGGTCTCAAACTGCGACCTCAGGTGATCCTCTGCCCGGGAGGCGGAGGTTGCAGTGAGCCAAAGTTCACACCATTGCACTCCAGCCTGGGTGACAGAACGAGACTCCGACTCAAAAAAAAAGGAAGAATGTATTATCATTTTTTTCTTATCACAGAGCTACACATGTAGTAAATGCTAATTATTTGGTAAGATTAGTGAAAAATGATATTCTAAAATCTTGTTAAATTTTTAAAGTACTTGTAACTTTAATTTAAAACAATTTTTTTTCTTTACAGAACCTTATTTTGGGGAGTAAAGTCAACTGGGCAGAGGATCCTGCCCTTAAGGAAATTGTTCTGCAGCTTGAGAAGAATGTTGACATGATGTAATAAGAATTCATTTCTGACATATTTTACATTTTTGGCAATCCCAACTCTTACTTGGAATATTTCTGTGCATTTGTTTGTCCACCATAATTTTAGAAAAGCATATCCATAACATTTACAGTTGTATAGTTGTGGTTAGTTATTTGTAGTGGGATTGAAAGTAATTTTTTTCTTTTTATATTTCTATATTTAGTTTGCTTTTTTTTTTGAGACGGAGTCTCACTCTGTCGCCCCGACTGGAGTGCAGTGGTGCGATCTCAGCTCATTGCAACCTCTGCCTCCCGGGTTTAAGCAGTTCTCCTGAGTAGCTGGGACTAAAGGTGCACACCACCATGCCTGGCTAATTTTTTGTATTTTAGCAGAGACGGGGTTTCACCGTGTTGCCCAGGCTGGTCTCGGAACTCCTGAGCTCAGGCGATCTGCCGCCTCGGCCTACCAAAGTGCTAGGATTACAGGCGTAAGCCCCTGAACCTGGCCTAGTTTGCATTTTTTTCCTATCAGTTTTATAAGTTAAGAAATAAAAGGAATTAATGTTACTTATCTTATTTTTTTTTTTTTTTTTTTTTTTTTTTTTTTGAGACGGAGTCTCGCTCTGTCGCCCAGGCTGGAGTACAGTGGCCGGATCTCAGCTCACTGCAAGCTCCGCCTCCCGGGTTCACGCCATTCTCCTGCCTCAGCCTCCGGAATAGCTGGGACTACAGGCGCCCGCCACCCCGCCCGGCTTTTTTTTTTTTTTTTGTATTTTTTAGTAGAGACGGGGTTTCACCGTGTTAGCCAGGATGGTCTCGATCTCCTGACCTCGTGATCCACCCGTCTCGGCCTCCCAAAGTGCTGGGATTACAGGCTTGAGCCACCGCGCCCGGCCCTTATTTTTTTTTTAATTGGTGCCCTTTAATAGTACTCTATCTTAGTAATTACAAAATCGAACTTGTCACTTTTTATAGCATTGCAGTCCATTTTTGAAAAACTCTTAATTTGAGCACTTTATTAATTTGGAGCTGTTGAACATTTTTACAGCTAATGTAGTATTTTCTTTTTTTTTTTTTTTTTTGAGACGGAGTCTCGCTCTGTCGCCCAGGCTGGAGTGCAGTGGCGCGATCTCGGCTCACTGCAAGCTCCGCCTCCCGGGTTCACGCCATTCTCCTGCCTCAGCCTCCCGAGTAGCTGGGACTACAGGCGCCCACAACCGCGCCCGGCTAATTTTTTGTATTTTTAGTAGAGACGGGGTTTCACCGTGGTCTCGATCTCCTGACCTTGTGATCCGCCCGCCTCGGCCTCCCAAAGTGCTGGGATTACAGGCGTGAGCCACCGCGCCCGGCAGTAATGTAGTATTTTCAACACTGTTTTTTTGTTTGTTTGTTTTTTGTTTTTCCTTGAGACAGAGGCTCGCTCTGTCACTCATGCTGGAATGCACTAGTGCAATTTCAGCTCACTGCAACCTCTGCCTCCTGGGTTCAAGCAATTCTCATGCCTAAGCCTCCTGAGTAGCTGAGATTACAGGTATGGGCCACCATGCCCAGCTAATTTTTTGTATTTTCAGTTGAGCCAGTGGTTTCACCATGTTGGTCAGGCTGGTCTTGAGCTCCTGACCTCAAATTATCTGCCTGCCTCGGCCTCCCAGACTGCTGGATTACAGGCATGAGCCACTGCACCTGGCCTCCACATTCTTTTTAGAAGGACGTGAAACTTGAAATGATGCTAGCATTTGTTTTCTTTTCTTTTCTTTTTTTTTTTTTTTGAGACGGAGTCTGCCTCTTTTGCCCAGTTTAGAGGGCAGTGTGGCACGATCTCAGCTCACTGCAACCTCTGCCTCCTGGGTTAAAGCAGTGATCCTGCCTCAGCCTCCCTAGTAGCTGGGACCACAGGCACGTGCCACCACGCCTGGCTAATTTTGTGTTTTTGGTAGAGATGGGATTTTGCCATGTTGCCCAGGCTGGTCTCAAACTCCTGAGCTCAAGGCCACCCATCTTGGCCTCCCAAAGTGCTGGAAAGTGAACTCCTGAGCTCAAGACCACCCATCTTGGCTTCCCAAAGTGGTGGTGTGAGCCACCGCACCTGGCCAAGTTCCTTCTTAAGGATCAATTCTGAGAGAGAAATTATATTAGCTTTTCCTAAAATCATGCTGAACAATAACCCCAAATCTCAGTAGCTTATAACAGACATTTCTGTTTTGGGTCTGTCCTCATAATTCTAGGACTCGGGCTGAGGGAACAGCCACAATCTGAAACATTCTCATGGCACAGGGCAGGAGCTTATGATGTCAAGTCCAATTATACCAGTATGATTAAAGTTTCTGTTTGAAAGGGGCTGACATTGATGAAACCCGACATGATTGAGGCAGGAAAGTATACTTCTCCCATGGCAGGGGAGTGGTGGATTTCAGAGTTGGAGAAAAAAAGTGGGTATTTTACTGAAAGAATACAATCTATTAAACTCAGCTATCTTGACTATAAATATTAACTTCCTTTCTGTGTTGTGCATGCAAAAGACACTTCCCAAGGAAGATAAGAGATAAGCTAATAGTGTCATCCAATTGTTACACTTTTTTCAAAGTTCGGTCTTTTATATCAGGTCCAGATGTGGCCCTTCATCTAGAGACCTGTGAACTGAAAAGACAAATTATATCACCTCACATATCCAGCAAGCAATAGTGGAATAGGTCTGCAGTCTGTAGCAATTTTTTCCTTTTTTTTTATTTTTTTTTTTTATTTTTTGTGGTAGAGACAGGGTCTCACTTTGTTGCCCTGGCCGGTCTTGAACTCCTGGGTTAAAGCCATCTACCCACCTCAGCCTCCTGTGGTGCTGGAATTACAGGTGTAAGCCAGCACACCCAGCCAAAATCTTAAGTATTACTTGGCAAATGATAGGAGATTCCCCTTACTAGGGGATAGTGACATTGATGAGGTTCTTATGTTGTTTTCTGGAGGTACTTCATCCAGATTCTTCACTCTGCCTGTGGGGAGGTTCTACCTTTTTCATTATCAATGTCGGCCATGTCTCTGAAGAGGGCATTAGAGAGTATGTCCTTCTGAGCAGCTTTCTGAAGTTGGGGGCACAAAGATCTTTTTACATCTACAACAGTCACAGTCTTTCTTTTTTTTTTTTTTTTTTCCTGTTGTTTGCTTTTTTGAGATGGAGTCTCACTGTGTTTCCCAGGCGGAAGTGCAATGGTGCCATCTCAGCTCACTGCAACCTCCACATCTCAAGTTCAAGGGATTCTCCTGCCTCAACCTCCTGAGTAGCTGGGATTACAGGTGCATACCACCATGTACGGCTAATTTTTTCTTTTTTGAGACAGAGTCTCACTCGTTGCCCAGGCTGGAATGCAGTGGCACAATCTTGGCTCACTGCAACCTCTGCCTCCCAGGTTCAAGCAATTCTCCTGCCTCAGCCTCCCAAGTAGCTGGGATTACAGGCATGCACCACCACGCCTGGCTAATTTTTGTAGTTTTAGTAGAGGCAGGGTTTCACCATGTTGGCTGAACTGGTCTTGAACTCCAGACCTCAGCTGATCCGCCTGGCTTGGCCTCCCAAAGCGCTGGGATTACAGGTGTGAGCCACTGCACCCGGCCCAGCTAATTGTTTTGCATTTTTAGTAGAAATGAGATTTTAGCATGTTGGCCAGGCTGGTCTCAAACTCCTGATCTCAAGTGATCTGCCTGCCTCGGCCTCCCAACGTGCTGAGATTACCGGCATGAGCCAGTGTGCCCAGGCTTGCAGTAGATACATTGCCTATTTGTTTTTTTTTTTCTTTATATGGAGTAGATATATTTTCTAAGGCCAGAAAACCTACCCATGGATTATGTTCTACAAAAAGGGCAGAAGAACTAACCTGCTAAGATGACATCGTATCACTAACCAACTCAGTGATCTGGGTGTGGTGGTACATGCCTGTAGTCCCAGCTGCGCAGGAGGCTGGGGCAGAAAGACTGCTTGAACCAGGGAGTTTGAGGCTGTAATGAGCCATAATGGTGCCAAGTGCACTCCAGCCTGGATGACAGAGTGAGTCCCTGTCTCAAAAAAAAAAAAAAACGAAAACTGGGTGCCATGGCTCACGCCTGTAATCCCAGCACTTTGGGAGGCTGTGGTGGGCAGATCAGGAGGTCAGGAGATCGAAACCATCCAGGCTAATATGGTGAAACCCCGTCTCTTACTAAAAATACAAAAAATTAGCCAGGCGTGGTGGCAGGTGCCTGTAGTCCCAGCTACTCGGGAGGCTGAGGCAGGAGAATGGCGTGAACCCGGGAGGCACAGCTTGCAGTGAGCCGAGATCGCGCCACTGCACTCCAGCCTGGGTGACAGAGCGAGACTCCATCTCAAAACACAAAACCTCAGTGGTAGTTATCTGCTATCTAAGGCTAACAATAAAAGGCTGTTACAGAGCTATATGGGCAGAGCCATCCCTGAGACTTCAGACCTGTAGAACCATCAGCATGCAATACCTGCCTGAGAGAGTCCAGGTACCTCTCTTCAACTCCTGAGAGCTGCTGGGTTGGCTGTGCCCAGCAAAACCATGGGGTAGGGCTGCCCTGGGGCTTTGGGGTCCAACCCCCATCCCAGTGCATCCAGAAGTCAAGATACTGAGTCAAGAATTATTCTCAAGCTTCAAGAGTTAATGTTTGCCTTGTTGGGTTTTTAACTTACTTGGGACCTATTACTCCTTTTTTCTTGCGTGTTTCTCCCTCTTGGGATGAGAATGTCAATCCTATTCCTGGCCCATCGTGTTTTGGAAGCACATCTATTTGATTTCACAGGCTCACAGTTGGAGGAGAATTTGCCTCAGGATGAGTCATGCCTTGAGTCTCATCCATATCTGATTTAGGTGAGACTCTGAGCTTTATAGTTTTAGGTTGGTGCTGGAATGAGTTGAGACTTTTGGGATGGATAAATGTATTTTTGTTTTTTGTCTTTTGATACAGTGCCTCCCTTTGTTGTCCAGGCTGAAGTGCAGTGGTACGATCTTGGCTCACTGTCAACAACTTCCACCTCCCAGGTTCAAGCAATTCTCGTGCCTCAGCTTCCAAGTAGCTGGGATTATAGGCATACACCACCACACTCAGCTAATTTTTTTATTTTTAGTAGAGAGGGTTTCACTGTGTTGGCCAGGCTGGCATGGAATTTGTGACCTCAAGTGATCCGTTTGCCTCAGCCTCCCAGAGTGCTGGGATTATAAGCGTGAGCAACTGCATCTGATAAATGTATTTTGCATGAGAGTAGGACATAAATTTTGGGGGCCAAAGGCGGTAAGCTATGGTCTGACTGTGTCCTTCAAAATTCATCTGTTGAAAATTGCCAATGTGACAATACTAAAAGGTAGGGCCTCTAGGAAATGATTAAATCATGAGTACAGAGCCGTCATGAATGAGATTAAGGCCCTTAAAAAAGGTTTGAGGGCCAGGCACAATGGCGCATGCCTGTAATCCCAGCACTTTGGGAGGCCAAAGTGGGCCGATCACCTGAGGTCAGGAGTTCGAAGCCAGCCTGGCCAACATGGCAAACCCTCATCTCTACTAAAAATACAAAAATTAGCTGGGCG